CACCTCTTACCTCAAGAAAGTACAAAACTGATTCACAGGGTTGCTTTTGTTTTGTTCTGGCTGTCTGTCTTAACCTCTTAGTCAGGTGTCCCGTTTCTGCCTTAACTATAACGCCTGTTGCTTCATAAGTGGAAGGAAGGCGGATTTGCTGCAAGGACAAAATGTTTGGGTACAGACTGTTTTTGGAGACTGTTTGACCCTACGTCCTTGTGTTGTGTGTAACATTCCTGCTTTGTTGCAAGCTCCTCACAGGCTCACACTCGTGTGAGATGTGACTCATCTCACATGAGTGTGAGGTTAAACCGGCTGGAGAGTTTTTCTGCACTCAACCGTGACTGGTTACCTTCCTCTGCCTCCTTCCATTCTTAGATAACAAATTCATTTTTTCACCCCTCCTTGCTTGAAGTCAAAGGGACGCTCAGGAACAGGACAGGTGTGAACTCACCAAGCCTGAAAGTCCACACTCAGTCAGGTTAAAGTCATAATGACATCATGACCTATTTGATAAAACAGTGTGACAATTAAAGAAAAAATGTAAATATGTTAGGTGACCTAATTTTTTTAATAAGCGACTGTTATGGTATCCTAAAGTCCAGTGTTGTAATATCACACGTTCACCTCTGCTTGGTAAATGTTTGTTTCACAACCAAACAACCGTGACGTGTGTCTGCTGTTCAGTTTCAAGACAGTAGGGCTAGTCAACAGACACACGGTCTCTAACAACAGTGATCTTCCAGCTTCCTTATTATGAAAGAGAAGTGTTGTCCGTACTGAGTCAGCAAACCACAACAACAAATGAAAAGGGTTTCCCAGAGCTTTTTGTTTGTTTTGTTTTTTTAAAAACATACTCTCATTTTGACTTAAACAGTTCATCATGTCACCCATCTTTTCCAGTTAGATCATGGATGAAACAAAAGTAGCTGGTCAAGAGATCTCCATCTGCTGTTGCCTTCCTGGCAATCCACTGTTTTGTTTCTAAGCATGTGGAAATTTACTGGACTTCAGATTTCTATATAGTGATTAACTTTTATGGTTAGCCGTTGCTCTCGGGGCATTGAACACTATGTACCGCTGACTAATAAAAACAATGTGTAAACTTTTATGGCACCCGTGGCAGATATCTATTTATTATCTTGTTATTTGTCAACTCTCAGATGAAGAGGCGAATTTAAAATCTAATTAAGCAATAACATCATGGAAAGGTTTGGCAAATTCCTCTTTTTCCTGACATGCAGATCTTCAAATTAGGACTTTACATGAACCAGAATTAAACAATTAAAAACCTTTAAGACACTGGCAGCATGCACTGAAATAAACAATCATAAAGCACCTATTATAAATTACTGCATAGGACAAATAGATGTGTAAACACTTAGAAGGCTGTAAATTGGTGTTAATTGTACTTTTAATTTGGTGAATTAGCAGCCTAATGTATTAAAGTAGAATAGCTTTATAACAGTTTAACGTTGACACACTGAAGAAAGAAAACACATTTGCCGCTAATGATTAAAGTTGGTCAACATCGCGTGCCCGCGTACGTGCAGGACGCGTACAGAAATGTCCTGCTTGTGCGCGAGCCTTCTTTTGCCCTCGTGCACACGGTACGGTCGGCGATGACGTTCGCAGAATTGGCAGACATCCAAGAGGGCGGTCCCCTTGACGTCATTGAGCTCTCATTCACAACCACGGGTTTATAAAAGCGGGCTGAAAGGCACTGGCAAGCAGACGCGCTCACTATAACATTTAATTTTTTTTTTAACTTAAGAAGACAAATAAAAGCCTGGGGCTGCCGAATAGGCTACTCTAAAGAAGAAGAAAGGACCAGTTTTAAGATCGTCTTAAAACTTTTTCATGTTTTTGATTTTTTCTTTTTAAACAAGCTAACCGGAACAAAGGACTCCGCGCTTCAAATAACACTTGGACGAACAACCTTTGTTAAGTCGGCTCAAACCTAAGTTTTGTCTTCCGTCGTAACTTTATGTT